ATATGAGTTTCGAGTTTAAGGAGGAGTACAAAGATAAAAGTTTGGAAAGCAACAAACAAACCAAAAACAAAATAAAGGTCTGCACATTATGGCATTAAAATTGAAAATAATTTAGGTGAATTGTTGCTGAAATAATACTAAATACTGAGTGTATTTATATTGTTTTATGGTTTTAAATTTTTTAACATGAATTTTCTTAACAGTTATGATGAATATTTTAGTGAAAACTTATTTTAGATGATGTTCAAAACCTTTTTAGAACAGACTTTTATATTAAAATGTCTCAGGACACTCATTAACTTGTTTTATAGATGATAAATTTAAACAGTAAATAATAAAAATAAATATGTTGTAAAGAATTTAGAAATAATAAACAGATTTCAATACATTTTACATATAAATTTGTAACCCAGAGAGATCTAGGGCTAATGTTTGACAAGTGTCGCACTAACCATCAATATAGACATTTCAAATCTTTCCCAAAGTTTACAAACGAATACAGAATCTTTCTCTCATGATTAACTTGTCAATGTGGGTCCTCATGTGTAGCTTGGTTGATACTTCTGGGTCTTACTTTATTGTAGTCTCTCAGTGAATGAGACCCTTATTTTAACTGTATTAACACCGCAGGTATAAGGAATGACTCATAAAATGAAATCCATTACTTTATTATATGCACCATTCATGGCTTTTAAAAAGAAATACCACTTTTATTTCAAATGAGATGCTAACCCTTTGTGATCCTCTATTATTAATCTAATATGAATATGACTATTGTGTGGAAATTAATATATTGAATTAAGAGCTGAAAATTAAAGAATTCATTTTTATCTAAATGACTGTATGCTAGAACTGACTAGTTAACATCAAGTTTTTAACAATGAAAATTCTTTGTACTTTTCCAGTCTATTCGTGAAGTCACAGGCTATGTGCTGGTGGCCCTCAACCAGTTTCGTTATCTGCCTTTGGAGAATTTACGCATTATCCGTGGAACAAAACTATATGAAGATCGATACGCTTTGGCAATATTCCTAAACTACAGAAAAGACGGAAACTTTGGACTACAAGAACTTGGATTAAAAAATCTGACCGGTAATAAAAGTTCATTTATGTTATGTGTTGTTCACAGTGTGTATGCGCATTTTCTGTGGCGAAGAAGGTGGCTCCACCATGTCTAAAGTCTTCAATTTCATTCGCTTTAGGAGAAATGATGCCCATGATGCCTTTACTTTTATTTACAAATTTTGTAAGTGTTGTTTGAAAGATAGCAAAATATTGTATCTCTCCTGAACAGAAGTACACTCTAAAGAAATGTTCAGTGGCTGGAACGTGAGATAGCAAGCAGGTTTAAGAATGCTGTGCGGTGGTCCCAGGTGAACAGTAGACCGTATTATCAAACCTCAGTGATTACACCACAGTGCTTGTCCCCGTTAGAGCTCAGCAGTGCCCAAGATATCGTATTGACTTCAGCTTATCTTTACTTTTGTGCACAATCACCTTAATTTTGGGGAACACATATAATGTATTGAATTTTCATTTATTTTGTTTAGTAGCTCACCAAATATCATCAGTAATTCCCAGAAGTTTTCTGTCTCCTCTGATATTTTCTCAGTTTTGTAGATACAAGGTACCAGTAAACTAGAATTATCATCTCACCCCAAGAAAACTTTATAGGAATTGACATTTACTTCCATTCATGTTTCATATAATTCATAGTCTGATGAAAATCGTTTTTAAACAATTATGAATTTTATAACATATACCCATAGCTAAA